CACTGTGCTAGCTGCTTTCTGTTGTTAACATTTTAAAGTTATTTAATAACATTCTTTTAAGGAATTAGTAAACTGGAAATCCTGGATTAAAGGAATTCCAGATATTCCAGCTTTTAAACTACCATTGAGTTTAAAAATATGAGTACAGATTGGCTTATTCAAAGTTGTTTTCTGCAAACAGAATTGAAAGGAATAGGGATCACTGTAGGTGGGCAGGACCCAGGGCCATGTCTGGACCAACAATAGACTGTAAGTCTGAAGAAGTCAGGGATCCCAGTGTTTGGCTCATCCTTGTACGGTGCTTAGCAGATGATTGATGATCGACACAGGATGTGATGTCCAGAGCTGCAGCAGCCATTTGGTGACCATGAGGACAAGGGAAGAAAATTTCAAGGGAGGTGACTCAGAGCGCTAACACATCTGAACTGCCAAATTAACCCACTCTGTGACCATCTGTCTTCATCCCTCTTGCTTTATGCATAAATGTCTTCAGTTCAAAGTCATCTTTCCCCTATGGCTGTTATTCTAAACACATGACCAGAGAGATCCTAACTGACCCAGTCTCTAAATATGAGCATGGATATGTCACCATCTCAGCTGGGTGATCACAACCATGCTCTTGATGGAGCAGCACTTCATGAGAATAATGGAAGCCACCTGTTTCTCAAGGCTTTGCTCTGAAATCTGCTGGGACCCCTGGGCTGATCTCTCCCACTTTGAAACTCTCTCATTGCACATGAGAGTCGAGTTCCCTGCAGTGCAGGTGGCAGAGAATGAGCCTGGCAGTTTCGTGTTTGGTTTGTCAGGGTGCCACATGGCGCTGGGCGCCAGGGCCATGTTATGTGATCTGAGCCACCTCACTGACCTGCCTGTTGCTATGGCTCATGAGTGAGGAGCATAGCTGACATTCTTCCCCTCCTGGAGAATTCTATGCAGAAAGACACCTGCCCCGGTCCTCTGGGCATTTCCTCGTTCCTTTTTCTGCTGGATCTGCCACCTCTGAAACCTAAGCTGGGCTCAGGGTTGGTGGGGGGAGTGGCGGGCAGGAGAGCATCGTGTGTTCTGAGGTTTTATCAGCCACTCTTCAGACATTTCCATAAGCATTCAGGGCAGAGTTGCGGAAGCATTTGTGACTTTGGTGTGAATATATCTGTGTTGCTTGGAGATCAAGAAGTTCAGTTTCGGGACCCCTCGTGGTCCAGTAGCTAAGACTCCGAGCTCCCAATGCAGGGGGCCTGGGTTCGATCCCTGTTCAGGTCACGAGACCCCACAGGCTGTGATGAAGATCGAAGGCCCTGCGTTCCACACCTAACACCCAGCATGGCCAAATAAGTGAATACATAGAAGTAAATATTTAAAAAAAGAAGTTCAATTTCAATTCCTCAAACATGTCACCCTCATATGGGGCCGGCTGTCTGGGAAGAGCCATCTCTTTCCATAACCACTGAATCTCCTCTAAGTCAATTCAGTTGTCTCCAAGTCTTTGCGACCCCATGGATCTTGAGGGTCCCTTGGACTGCAAGAGGATCCAACCAGGACCCACCAGGCTCCTCTGCCTGCGGGATTCTCCAGGCAAGAATACTGGAGTGGGTTGCCGTGCCCTCCTCCAGGGGATCTTCCCGACCCAGGGATTGAACCTGCGTCTCCTGCACTGCAGGTGGATTCTTTACTATTGAGGCACCTGGGAAGACTTCTCTATGCTATAGTTACTACTTTCCCCTGTGGAGCGAATAAATATTTTTCTTGTGTAGGAAGGCACTTTGAGACCCAGCAACTATTCCGTTTCCCACCACACTTTGGAGTTATTTATTTAGATCAGGTTGGACTCATGGGTTCTCATTTTACTAGTCATGAGCCATTCTGTCATTGGGCTTCCCAGGTGGTGCCTGGGTCGTGGAGATCCTCTGGAGGAGGACATGGCAACCCACTTCAGTGTTCTTGCTGGAGAATCCCAAGGACAGAGAAGCCTGATGGGCTAGTCCATGGGGTCACAAAGAGTTGGACACGACTGAGGAGATGTAGCATGCACGCATGGAGACAGTAAAAAGTCAGTGGTCGCCAGGGACAGAGTAACCTGGTGAGCTACAGTCTGTAGGCTTGCAAAGAGTCAGACACAACTGAGTCGGCTTAGCACCGCACGGCTCATTCCGTCATTAATTTTTGTCTCTCAAATGATCTCAGATTTGGCAAGTGGAACCTCCTTCAAGCTGACTGAAGGCCCTTTGAGATGTCCTCTTTATGTTTTGAGTACTTTCTTTATTTGTGGCAGAACAGAGTGGTCCACGCTCGCCTCCTACTTTTCCTGCCCAGCCCTGAAATCGGTGATTCCTTCAAGGATCCTGGGTCCCTTTATTGGAAAATAATGTGCGGGACTGGGAATGTCCTCATCACTTCAAGGGTCTTGCTACTCCTGGATCATTTCAGTGGAATGTGTGTACACACATATGTGGAAGTGTATACAGCACTCATGAGAGTATGTACTTAAATTTACATCCCTGTTTATTTCTGCATTCATCTGTATCTAGTAAAAACCACACATTTCATCATCTCCACTTTCAGTCCAACACCACAGGGTTCATTCTTGTTTTCTCCTATTCTGTAGTTGTAGCTCTCGTTCCCAACAGGGAGAAATTTGGCTTCTGTTGTCTTGATGACAGTTACCCATTTGATCAATCCCTTCGTGTATAACCCAGATCTTATCACGACTGCCACCCTTCCTCCTCCTAATGCTTCTTGATCTTGCTTGAGCTCCAAGGCCCCCATGATTAGCTTCTCCTGTCGTATTAGTTCAGTCGCTCAGTTGTGTCCAATTCTTTGTGACGCCATGGACTGCAGCACGCCAGGCCTCCCTGTCCATCACCAACTCCCAGAGCCTACTCAAACTCACGTCCATCGAGTCGGTGATGCCATCCAACCATCTCATCCTCTGTCATCCCCTTCTCCTCCTGCCTTCAATCATTCCCAGCATCAGGGCCATTTCCAATGAGTTGGTTCTTGGCATCAGGTGGCCAAAGTATTGGATCTTCAGCTTCAGCATCAGTCCTTCCAATGAATATTCAGGGTTGATTTCCTCTAGGATGGACTGGTTGGATCCTCTTGCAGTCCAAGGGACTCTCAAGAGTCTTCTCCAACACCACAGTTCAAAAGCATCAATTCTTCAGCACTCAGCTTTCTTTATAGTCCAACTTTCACATCCATACATGACCACTGGAAAAACCATAGCTTTGACTAGATGAACCTTTGTTGGTAAAGTAATGTCTCTGCTTTTTAATATGCTGCCTAGGTTGGTCATAGCTTTTCTTCCAAGGAGCAAGCGTCTTTTAATTTCATGGCTGCAGTCACCATCTGCAGTGATTTTGGAGCCCAGAAAAATAAAGTCTGACACTGTTTCCACTGTCTCCCCATCTCTTTGCCATGAAGTGAGGAGACCATATGCCATGATCTTAGCTTTCTTGAATGTTGAGCTTTAAGCCAACTTTTTCACTCTCCTCTTTCACTTTCATCAAGAGGCTCTTTAGTTCTTCACTTTCTGCCATAAGTGTGGTATCATCTGCATATCTGAGGTTATTGATATTTCTCCTGGCATTCTTGACTCCAGCTTGTGCTTCATCCAGCCCAGCATTTCTTATGATGTACTCTGCATATAAGTTAAATAAGCAGGGTGACAATATATAGCCTTGATGTGCTCCTTTCTCGATTTGGAACCAGTCTGTTATTCCATGTCCAGTTCTAACTGTTGCTTCCTGACCTGCATACAGATTTCTCAGGAGGCAGGTCAGGTGGTCTAGTATTCCCATCTCTTTCAGGATTTTCCATAGTTTGTTGTGATCTACACAGTCAAAGGCTTTGACATAGTCAATAAAGCAGAAGTAGATTTTTTTCTGGAACTCTCTTGCTTTTTCGATGATCCAGCGGATGTTGGCAATTTGATCTCTGGTTTCTCTGCCTTTTCTGAAACCAGCTTGAACATCTGGAAGTTCACAGTTCATGTGCTGTTGCAGCCTGGCTTGGAGAATTTTGAGCATTACTTTGCTAGCATGTGAGATGAGTGCAATTGTGCACTAGTTTGAACATTCTTTGGCATTGCCTTTCTTAGGGATTGGAATGAAAACTGACCTTTTCCAGTTCTGTGGCCACTGCTGAGTTTTCCAAATTTGTGGGTATATTGAGTGCAGCACTTTCATAGCATCATGTTTCAGTATCTGAAATAGCTCAACTGGAATTCCATCATGTCCACTAGCTTTGTTCATAGTGATGCTTCCTAAGACCCACTTGACTTTACACTACAGGATGTCTGGCTCTAGGTGAGGGATCACACCATCCTGGTTATCTGGGTTGTGAAGATCTTTTTTGTATAGTTCTTCTGTGTATTCTTGCCACTTCTTAATGTCTTCTTCTTCTGTTAGGTCCATACCATTTCTGTCCTTTATTGTGCTCATCTTTGCATGAAATGTTTCCTTGGTATCTCTAATTTTCTTGAAGAGATCTCTAGTCTTTCCCATTCTTTTGCTTTCTTCTATTTCTTAGGATCAATCACTGAGGAAGGCTTTCTTATCTCTCCTTGCTATTCTTTGGAACTCTGCATTCAAATGGGAATATCTTTCTTTTTCTCCTTTGCCTTTAGCTTCTCTTCTTTCACAGCGATTTGTAAGGCCTCCTCAGACAACCATTTTGCCTTTCTTTTTTGGGGGGATGGTCTTGATCCCTGCCTCCCGTACAATGTCACGATGTCCTCCTGTATGGTGGACACCCTCAACCTCTCTCAGGCCCTGGGTCATCACGGCTCACCCCTTAGCGTGGACAGCTCCCCCAACGACTTGTGACCTGCTGCAATTCAGGATGAGAAGTGAAAGAAGGAAAGGAAAACATCGAGAGAGTCGTAGCCAGCCTTGGCAGTGGCGATTTCAGTGCTCAGCATGGATAAAACTCTGTCAGCAGTTTGATCTATTCAGTCTGCCTCAGGAGGCCATCTGTGTGGGTGTGGCTACATCCCACTAAGATCACATGTGTCTCCTCTCTCTCCTCTCTGCTTCTCTGCCCTGACGACGCTGTGAATGCTCAGGAGTGGTGATCCAAACTCCAGCCCTCGCGTCTCGACTTCCCAGGCCTGGGACTTCAGAGCCTCCTTGGGCGACTTGAAGGGCACACGCCTCCCGGGGAGCAGCACCTCCTGCCCACTCCTGCTTGAATTTCTGCTCCCCTGCCACCACTCTCGCAGGCTGGGTGCCCAGCTGTCCGCCCGTCCCTCCCCCGTCAGCGGCCCCTCCAGCTGCTGTGACGAAATGCCTGGGAGTCACGGGGCACAGGATCAGTGATGGGGGGAGCCAAGGCCACTCTTGTCCCTGGCTGGCTGGCCTCATGCCATGAGGTCATATGTCCTTTATACTCCCTGGGGCCAGCCTCATCCTGCTGAGGTCTGGCAAGAGTGGGGTCTCCTGTTCGGCACAGTGAGGACGGGCCCTCTCCTGCCGCTGGTGGATTTGGGATTAGCCTGTGTGAGCAAAGGCCATGTGACCCTCCCACCGCTGCTGTTTCTGCTTTGTGACAACACAGGTCACAGTGGCCCCTGTCGCTCGGAGACACTCCCTTCCCCCCTCTGCCCTGCATCCAGGCCCGTGGCTTCTGCTCCTGTCTGGGGCATTTAGGGGAGGGAACAGAGAGGTGCACACTCGGGGCAGATGAGCAGGCAGGAGGCCACAGCGAGGAGGAGCCATGTGCTGAACAAAACCCAGTTCTCTCGTCCCCAGCACACGTGGGCACAGCGGAAAGCTTTGCACACCAAGGCTGAGCTTTCTGTGCCTCCCCAGGCCCTGATGGGCTGGAACGTGATCTGGAAGATGGGGAGAGCTAGCTGTCTTCTCTGAGTCATGGGGTAGAAGAACACGACTCCTTGGGGGCTTCTAAAGGCCAGAGCCAGAGCCCTGGAAGAGACACCGCAGAGAAGCACAGCGGTGCTGACGTTCCCACCTCCGCTCACCATCCCATCCCTTCTGGGCTCCGAGATTCTTGAACGATGTGAATCCTTTCCCGGAGAACACGGCGGCATGGTCATAACTTGTTAAATACCGCAATTAAAATAGTTCTCTTATTAACTTCGTGATAACACTCCCCCCCCCCAAATTACATGTTAGCGTTTTGTTAATTAAATTTCCAGTTCCAACAGAGCTGCTCGCTGCTGCTGTGAGTTGTCCAGGGGGCTGTCTTCCTGGTGGGTGGGAGGGTGGACCAGCAGGTCGGACAGGTTTCCGTCTTTCTGACTGGAAGTTTGCGAGGAGGGAACAGGAGACAGCATCGAGAGTTGATGACGCCTAAATAAGGTGCAAAGAAAAATAAGGGGCACTCAGTTCAGTCCTTTGGGCTGCAAGATCCAACCAGTCCATCCTAAGGGAGATCAGTCCTGAATATTCGCTGGAAGGACTGATGCTGAAGCTGAAACTCCAATACTTTGGCCACCTGATGCGAAGAGCTGACTCATTGGAAAAGACCCTGATGCTGGGAAAGACTGAGGGCAGGAGAAGGGGACGACAGAGGATGAGATGGTTGGATGGCATCACCAACTCAGTGGACACGAGTTTGAGCAAACTCCAGGAGATGGTGAATGGCAGGGAGGCCTGGCGTGCTGCAGTCCATGGGCAAAGAGTTGGACACGACTGATCGACTGAACTACAGTTAAGTTGGAATTTCAGATGTATGATCAATAACTTTTTTTAGTGTGAGTATATCCCAAACATTGCATGGGACATATTTATGCCTAAAATTCATTTGTTATTTCCGTGCATTTCAAACTTGGTGGGGTGCCCTGTACTTACTCTGGCCATCTTACACCTACGTCAGCTCCCGGCTCCAGAGAAGGGAAGTCATCTCTTCTTTCAATGCATCTTGGCTCTTTAATTACTGAATTCACAATGGAGGTTGTTTTTATTGTTTTGGTCAGTTCCTTCATGCATACACTAAAAATCTCACAGTGATGAGTTGTGTGAATACTCTTTTGATGTCTATCATCAATCCATTGATCTATTAATCATTTAAAGAGTGTCAGAGTGTCTAAGACACACCAGGTGCTGCGTGAGGTGCTAGACACAAGAGCCAAGGAGACATGGGCTTTGACCTCAAGGAGTTCACTGCCCAGAGCTGGGCTCCTAGACATGGCCAAATCCAGCCAGCCATCTTGTTTTATAAATAAAACTTTATTGGAACACAGACATACCACCATCTCGTATTATAAATAAAACTTTATTGGAACACAGCCACACCACCATCTCGTATTATAAATAAAACTTTATTGGAACACAGCCACACCACCATCTCGTATTATAAATAAAACTTTATTGGAACACAGCCACACCACCATCTTGTTTGTGAATAAAACTTTTCTGGAACACAGACTCACCCAATCACTTACTACTGTTTGTGGCTGCTTTCACCCGCAGTGGCTCACTGAGTAGTGGTAATAGACTATGTTCCAAAATAAAATATTTACTTTCAAATTTCACAAGGAAAAGTATGCTGACTCTTGACCTAGAGGAAGAGCTAGTTAAGGATGCATTAAGCAAGATGTAAGTCAAGAGCATGGGGCTCTCAACGCAGGGAGCCCCAATCCGACTTCTGTGTACCAGTTGCGGGGAGCCACTGTGAGAGCTGGGCTTTAAGAGGGATGTGGAGGGGACGGGGTGAAGGTGGGAAGAGATGGCCTCTTGAGGGTCTCAGGATGCCAAGCATTGACAAGGTTTTACTGATGTGACCCACTGTGGGTACCGTCACTCCTGACAAACCATGGGCGGGGGAGGGCGGGGGCATGTCTTCCTCTAGAGCAGTGGTTCCCAAAGAGGAGGAGGTTGCCCTTTGAGGGACATTTGGCCATGTCCGGAGACAATTTTGGTTGTCACAACTTTGGGGGGAGTTGCTACCGGCAACTCGTGGGTAAAAGCTAAGGATGGAGCTGACTGTCCTATAATGCATGGGCTAGGCTCCCATGATAAAGACACGTGTCCCCCAAACATCAACAGTGCTACAGTTGAGAACACTTGGCATGCACCCCTATGCCCAGCACAAGGCTTCGCAAATAAAGGGATACTTGGTAAAGCTGGTTGAACTGAAAAAAAAAAATGGATGTGTTTTGGGAACTGTGAGAAGTTCGGAGTCATCAGTGAGTGGGCTGTAAGATGTCAGGTGGAACAAGAATGGAATGTTGGATCGGGGTTGCTGCAGGCAAGAAGGGGTTTTAATTTTCTAAAGGCGGGGGAGTACTGGGGAGGCCGCTTGGTCCAGGACAGGGGCGCCATGGGGAGGGCTCCTTGCAGAGTTACGCGGAAGGCAGTGCAGGGAAGAGATTGGCGCAGGAAGACCTGCCAGGTGACGTCAACTGCAGCAGTGCCAGTGGGAAGAGGGAGGGGGAAGCAATTTCAGGCAAGGCCAGGAGGTAGGCGCAGCAGGATTTGGGTGCGTGGAGTCAGAGGGAGGGTCATGAAGGCATTGTCTGAGCAATTACAACACCGTCTGAGGTCAGGGCTGCGGGAGGGTAGATCAGGTGCATGCATAGGTGGGGGGGGGGGCAGTGGTTGGATTTGCTCATTTCAGGGTAATCCATAAGACAGCTTTAAAAAGCACTATATTCTAGATGCCAAAGTCAATCTCATTTTTTAAAAAAGATCATCCGTTACCACTATTCATTTCCTCTTTGGTCTGGCAACAGGATAAGACCAGAGAAGGGGGCAGAAGTAGAAATGAAAGTCACTCAGTTGTGTCCGACTCTTTGCAACCCATGGACTCTACAGTCCATGGAACTCTCCAGGCCAGAATGCTGGAGTGGGTTGCCATTTCCTTCTCCAGGGGATCTTCCCAACCCAGGGATCGAACCCAGGTTTCCTGCATTGCAGGCAGATTCCTTACCAGCTGAGCCACAAGGGAAGCCCAAAAATACTGGAGTGGGCAGCCTATCGCTTCTCCAGCGGATCTTCCCAGCCCAGGAATCGAACTGGGGTCTCCTGCTTGTAGGCGGATTCTTTACCAACTGAGCTATCAGGGAAGCCCAGAAGTAGAAGTTGGTTTAAATCAACAAATATTTATGTGCTGAGTACCAGAGTCACTTTTCTCTGGGGATTCTGGACAAGTGACAGCTGCATCCATCTAAGCCTTGATGCTTAAATAAGACATCTCATGGTGCCCTGGTAATGGCAAGTCCCGGGGGTCTAGGTGTGTCCTGCGCTCAGCCCCAGGGAGCTCCTGAAGCCGGAGTTGAACCTGGTCCTCTCCTTGACTTTTGAGAGGACCCAGCACAGGATGCAGAGCTCTGCAGATACCTCAGCGCCCCGCGGAGCCACACCAAGCAAAGAGGCTCCCCTCTAAGCCTGTAGGCTCCTCGTTGTCTGACCCCAACCATGTACCCTCGAATCAAATTACAAGTAGGATTGGAAGCTAAGAGCCAGCCAAAGGCATCATGGTTCCTGCTAAGGAGATAAACCAAGCTGCCAGCCAGTAGGGCTTGGCTGCAAAAGCTCACGAAGCTGCAAGCCTATCCCGAGAAGGTGATTTGGGGTGTTTGTTTCTACATGCAGCCTCTCTCCCTGCAGATGCTGCGTGTTTCTCCAAGTGCTTTTATACGTACAGATGAGCGCTGTTGTTGGCCATGTCTTTTGGGAAGCTGTAAGTTGCATGCAACTGGCTAATCTCACTGGCTTCAAGTAAGATAAGGACACCACCGTTGGTTTGGGCCTCATTAAGTTTGACTAGCCTGGTTCTCTTCTGGAGCCGCAGAAGGCACTGCTCAGTCGAGATGGTATTTTTACATTTTTTTGTTTTTAAAACTTTTTATCTTGATTTGGGGTGTGTGTGTGCGCACTTAGTCAGTCATGTCCGACTGTTTGCGACCCCATAGACTATAGCCCACCAGGCTCTTTTGTCCATGGGATTCTCTGGGCAAGAATACTGGAGTGGGTTGCCATTCTCTTCTCGAGCGGATCTTCTCGACCCAGGGATTGAACCCAGGTCACCCGAATTGTAGGCAGATTCGTTACCATCTGAGCCATATATGGCTGATTAATAAACAAAGTTGTGATAGTTTCGAGTGAACAGTGAAAGGACTCAGTCACACACACACATATATCCGTTCTCCCCCACACCTCCTCCCATCCAGGCTCCCACATCACACGGAGCAGAGTTCCCTCTGCTCGTTGGTTCTCCATTTTAAATACAGCAGTGTGTCCACGTCCGTCCCCATATCCCTACTGTCCTTTCCCCCATGTCCGTCCCCTAAGTCTGCGAGTCTCTTTGGTTTTGTAAGTTCATCTGTATCATGTTTTAGATTCCACGTATAAAGGATGTCATATTGTATACAATATTTCTCCTTTTTCTGACTTTCTTACCCAGTATGACAGTCTCTAGGTGAGATGCTACTTTTGTGAATGAATAGCTCCGGTCCAAAACGGTACTGCGAGGCAGGATGGGTGAGGGTCACCCGCTCGTCTGCTCCAGCTGCGCGCACAGCTGCCCTCCTCATCACCGTCTGGCCTCCGCCCTCAGCTCACACTCGGACGGCACTCTGGGGGGCAGCTTCTTGATGTTCCTGTGATGGGCATGTGGGCGGCTTGTTGAGGGGACTCTGGCACCTCTTCTCAGCAGAGGAAGCTATGTCTGGGGTCCTGGGAGCAGCTGGGCTCTGGGTTGTGAGCTGCACACTTAGAGATGCAGAAGTTCTTGCTGTTGGCTATTTTGTAGATGTGAGTAGACACTGAAATCCAGAAACTTTGGGAAGAGTTGCCTATTCTCTGTATCAGTTGCAAAGTATTATATCATAGGATGGATAAACAACAAGGTCCTACTGGATAGCACAGGGAACTATATCCAATAACCTGTGATAAACCATAATGGAAAAGAATGTGAAAAAAGGTATATATATGCATGTATGTATATTTATGTATATATATATACACATATATATAACTGAATCTACTGTACAGTAGAAATTAACACAACCTTGTAAATCATCTATACGTCAATAAAATGAATTTTTTAAAAAATAAACATTCTTTAAAAAAGGAAGAAAGCTTGTGATTATAGAGGAATTATGAAGCAATCCATGAACCTTCATTTTTTTCAGACAAAGTATAATTACAGGGCTTCATTTCCCAGAAGATTTAGATGGACATCAAGGGCTCAGTTCAGAATACATTTTGCCATACTCTTTTTTTTTTCTTCATGAATTACATCTTTCCTATATTTTCTGAAACACGGAATACAAAAACATAAGCTCTTTCTAATATTTATTAAAATCCTATTTTATCATTTTGAAATAAAATATGGATTGGCTTTTTATTCACATCAAGTATTGTGAGATATGTTTTTGATAGTGTATGAAGTCATAAAATATGAGTAATGAGAAATAAAGGGGCTTCCTTGGTGACTCAGCCGTCAAGAATCTACCTGCCAATATAGGAGACCTGGGTTCAGTCCCTGGGTTGGGAAGATCCCCTGGAGGAGTAAATGGCAACCCACTCCAGTGCTCTTGCTTGGAAAATCCTATGGACAGAAGAGCCTGGCAGGTCACAGTCCATGGGGTCGCAAAGAGTTGGACACGACTTAGCAACTAAACAACAGCAATGAAAGACAAAAGAAAAATTCATAAATTAAAAAAAAAGAGAGAGAGTTGCCCATTCTCTACCTCATTTTATGGTCACTCAGTTGATTCATCTGTATTCTCTATACCCCCTGTCTTATTAACTCATCCGCATTCTCTATCTCGCAGTCGCTCACTGACTCATCAAACATCTGCTGTCCTTCCCTGTGTGTGGGGCAGGCTCCATGCTTCCTCCGTGAAGTGTGTTGGCTTCCTGGGCGATCCTGGGTGAGGTCACTGTCATTTCTGTAGCAAAGCTCTGGATGGCAGTCAGGAGACAAACTCTGCCTTCTCTGGGTGACCGTGAGCTAGTCTCTTCCATCCTGAGAAGGTACGTTTCTCCCCTGAGTTTCCTGGCATCTCTGATGCCCTCTTTCTGTTCTAACGGCGGGGAGGACCGGATTTGTGTGTCTGGACAAACCTAGTCTTCCTGTCTCCCCCTCAAAGGTGAGGAACAGACGAAAGGGGGATAAGGTACACCAAGAGAAAAACAGACAATATGCAGAAAGCTCATGACTTCCTGCAGGGGGCTGAGCCACCAGGTTTGAACTTGAACGCTGCAGTGTCCCCGTGCTCCCTGGCCGCTCCCCGATGGCGCAGTCTGGATGGGTGTTCTCTGTCAAGTCAGCCACTATGGCTCAGAGCGAAGACCGACTCACACACACATCGCCTTGGCAACGCTTGGGTAAACCTGCTCAGAGTCCGGAGGATACAGGACAACTTCCTTTCTCCCTTTTTTCTTTCCTCTCTTAACACTAGCCTAAGGTAAAGAGTGGTTGAGCTGGATTAACCTCCTTTTGAAAAAGATTTCTTACCTAGGGATATATTTGGCTCTGAAATAGTCAGTGAAAATTCACCTAAGACATCAGCCCAAGGCATTCTGGGGTCCTTGAGTTTTACTGATAACTGGAGGGTGCAGTTGATGACTCGGTTGGATCCAGGGACACCTAAGTGGCCTTTCATCTGTGTAGCCAGCATCTGAGCCATTGCGTACCTAGGGCCCCAGGGTCCCACACCAGCAGGATGCTGGAACATCCAAATGGGCTTCCTCCAGAGGGGTCCATAGCTGATGCAGGAAGCAATCTCACACCCCCATCCCCTCCAGAGGTTGACACTAGAAACTACAAGAACTTATTTATAAAGCATCGAGTCTCTTGGGCTCCCCTGGCTATTTTATTTTCTTGCTTTTCTGACTTGGACCTTGAGGCTGCATGCTCGACGCATCAAGCTTACCTGGGGGCCAAAAAATTGGTCCAATAAATACAGAGATAAGAGTTTTCCAGGTGGCTTAGTGGTAAAGAATCCGCCTGCCAACTTGGGAGATGCAAGAGTCACAGGTTTGATCCCTGTGTCAGGAAGATCCCGGGGAGAAGTGAAGGGCAACTCGCTCCAATATCCTTGCCTGGAAAATCCCATGGACAGAGGAGCCTGGCAAGCTACAGCCCATGGGGTCACAAAGAGTTGGACATGAGTGAGTGACTGAACATGCATCAGTTCAGTTCAGTTCAGTCGCTCAGTCATGTCCGACTCTTTGCGACCCCATGAATTGCAGCACGCCAGGCCTCCCTGTCCATTACCAACTCCCGGAGTTTACTCAGACTCAAGTCCATTGAGTCGGTGATGCCATCCAGCCATCTCATCCTCTGTCGTCTCCTTCTCCTCCTGCCCCCAATCCCTCCCAGCATCAGGGTCTTTTCTAATGAGTCAACTCTTCGCATCAGGTGGCCAAAGTATTGGAGTTTCAGCTTCAGCATCAGTCCTTCCAATGAACACCCAGGACTGATCTCCTTTAGGATGGACTGGTTGGATCTCCTTGCAGTCCAAGGGACTCTAAAGAGTCTTCTCCAACACCACAGTTCAAAAGCATCAATTCTTCAGCACTCAGCTTTCTTCACAGTCCAACTCTCATATTCATACATGACCACTGGAAAAACCATAGCCTTGACTAGACGGACCTTTATTGGCAAAGCAATGTCTCTGCTTTTCAATATGCTATCTAGGTTGGTCATAACTTTGCTTCTAAGGAGTAAACGTCTCTTAATTTCATGGCTGCAGTCACCATCTGCAGTGATTTTGGAGCCCCCAAAAATAAAGTCTGACACTGTTTCTGCTGTCTCCCCATCTATTTCCCATGAGGTGATGGGACCCGATGCCATGCTCTTAGTTTTCTGAATGTTGAGCTTTAAGCCAACTTTTTCACTCTCCTCTTTCACTTTCATCAAGAGGCTTTTTAGTTCCTCTTCACTCTCTGCCATAAGGGTGGTGTCATCTGCATATCTGAGGTTATTGATATTTCTCCTGGCAATCTTGATTCCAGCTTGTGCTTCCTCCAGCCCAGTGTTTCTCATGATGTATTCTGCATATAAGTTAAATAAGCAGGGTGACAATATACAGCCTTGACGTACTCCTTTTCCTATTTGGAACCAGTCTGTTGTTCCATGTCCAGTTCTAACTGTTGCTTCCTGACCTGCATATAGGTGTCTCAAGAGGCAGGTCATGTGGTCTGGTATTCCCATCGATTTCAGAATTTTCCACAGTTTATTGTGATCCACACAGTTAAAGGCTTTGGCATAGTCAGTAAAGCAGAAATAGATGTTTTTCTGGAACTCTCTTGCTTTTTTGATGATCTAACAGACGTTGGCAATTTGATCTCTGGTTCCTCTGCCTTTTCTTAATCCAGCTTGAACATCTGGTAGTTCATGGTTCACATATTGCTGAAGCCTGGCTTGGAGAATTTTGAGCATTACTTTACTAGTGTGTGAGATGAGTGCAATTGTGTGGTAGTTTGAGCATTCTTTGGGATTGCCTTTCTTTGGGATTGGAATGAAAACTGACCTTTTCCAGTCCTGTGGCCACTGCTGAGTTTTCCAAATTTGCTGGCATATTGAGTGCGGAAGTTTCACAGCATCATCTTTCAGGATTTGAAATAGCTCAACTGGAATTCCATCAACCTTGTGGCTCAGCTGGTAAAGAATCTGTCTGCAATGCAGGAGACCTGGGTTCAATCCCTGGGTTGGGAAGATCCCCTGGAGAAGGGAAAGGCTACCCACTCCAGTATTCTGGCCTGGAGAAGTCCATGGGGTCACCAAGAGTCAGACATGACTTAGCAACTGAACATGCATATACAGACACAAATACAGCTTAGGGCTTTCTGGAGCTCAGCTTCTAAAGATGGATGGGCAGTCTCTACGCAATGTGAGAAGCTCATTTTCCTGATCCTCTGAGGACTACAGTGTCCATGTGGTGAGGGGTCCACAGCTGCAGTTGGAGCCGGTAGGGTGAGGGCTTCATTCTGCATTTCCTCCCAGTGTATGGGTAACAGAATTTAAACTCTTCCACTGATTGGGGTAACTATAGGATATTCTTTCCCAAAGACAAAACATCTGAAAAGTTACAACCTCTATGATGTGAACCTTACCTTTGCAACAGACAGGTACCTAGACATCCTAGTGTGTAGATATGGAACACTTCAAGTGGGACGTTTTTAAAGACATTCAAGGAGCTCATGGGAGGAAATCCTTGGTGATTCCTCTGTAAAGTTTATTGCTTCTTTTCATCTTTCTGTTACCCAGATTTTTCTGCCTTCGGTTATCTTAGAATACAGTGTTCAATAGCTTAGAATAGGCATCCCAGGTGGTAAAGAATCTGCCTGCAAATGCAGGAGATGAAGGAGATGAGGTTCAATCCCTGGGTCAGGAAGATTCCCCTGGAGGAGGAATGGAAACCCACCCCAGTATTCTTGCCTGTAAAATCCCATGGACAGAGGAACCTGGTGGGCTACAGTTCACAGAGCTACAAAGAGCTGACCATGACTGAGCGACTGAACACACACAGCTTAGACAAACAGAAAGTGGGCTTAGTCTGGGTAACATTCAGAACTCAGG